AATCAAAAAAGAGCAGGACTTCTGGGAAACATGGTGCTATAGAGAGAAGCACCATGCCATCCCTCCACAGCAAAGATCCAAAAAATTAACTCAGAGAGACAAACATCAATCCTGAAACCCTAAGCATCACACGAAGAGATAAAGAAGTCAGCCAAGCACAGAATAGAAGAAGAAACTGACAGACAACAGAGACCAAGGAGAGATACATGCAGAGGTCCCCTATCAGCTAACGCAGCATGGATCCACCATCTTGGACTCCTACTGGAGATCAGGGAATAGGGGTACAGGAAAGCAGTTTCACAGAGCTTCCAGCTGGAGAAGAAGAACCGGTAACCAACGATACACAATTTCCCACCCCCCACCCCATTCACCCCCACTCGGCCGCCTCTGGTTCCTGTAGCCACAGCCTCTTGGCCACAAAGAACTGGCTTCACCCTAGTGCCACCTGGATTCTACCGGCCCACACTGGCCGGCTCCCTGAGTGCCATTTGTTGGCTGCCGGTGTTGCTTTTTTCCACTTCTTTTGATTTCTTCCATACCTCTCACCACCTCCTCCTCCTTTCTCTCAAATACCTGGTTCCGTATGCCATCTTTGCTTCTTCCTGAAAGGCTGTGAAACGTCACCTGACTGTGAAATTGCGTCCCAGCCCATGCTGCCACACTGGTGGGATCCCCGAGACTTTTTTTTTTGTTTGCTTGTTTTGATTTCCTTTCTTTGATTTGTTTTCTTCTTCCTTTCTCAGCTTGGGAGCCTCTTCTAGCCAGGCAGTACTGTGCGGCTTGGGAGCTACTCCCGTAATCTGTGCAGACACATAGTGGGATCCCTGGGGACATTTCTTTTCTTTTTTTTTGCTTTGTTTTTCGGGTTTTTTTGTGTTTTCTTTTCTCCTTTTTTCCCTTTTTGTCTTTCCTCATTTCTCAATTTCTCATCTCTCTATACTTACCTTCTCTTCCTGTCTCCTGAATACCTGGCGCTGTGTGACACCTATACTCCTTCTAGCCAGGCTGTACTTCAACACCTGGGAACAACTTTCCCAGTCCTCGCAGCTGCACCGATGGGATCCCTGAAGACTTTGGGATTTTTTCTAATTTTTATTTAATCTTTTTTTTTCTTTTACCCTTTTTCTTTTTGTTTTTCTCCAGTTCTCAGTCTCTCATTTCTCCAATGCAAAAGCAAGCTCCCTTAGGGCTCTATTTCGTTTGTTTGTACTTATTTGGCTTCTGTTCCTCTCTCCTCTCTCCCATACCCATCTTAGCTCCACAAATCACAATCTCCCCCCTCCTTCCTGCCTACCTGCACCATGCGCTGAACATCACACCCCCAAGCAGCACAGGCACAGCCTACAGGAACATGCCCTGCACCGACTCCTGGCCCGCCCTGTCGGCCTTCGTACGTGCCACAAACAACCCATCCCAGCAACTCCCCTTCAGCTGGACCTGCCCTGCTGTACCGTGCCTGAGCGACAGACCCTGACAATTGGAGAAGGTAAAAAGTATCATGCCCACAAACGAACAAACAACAAAGAACGCACAGCCCGCCTGCTCAAAAACAACCAAACCAAACAAAAAAGGACAAAACAGACAAAGCCACAATCAATAAACGAGGAAAATAACTGGTGAATGTCCTGAAGACAGTAGACAATATCAAAATATATACAAAAACAGAACAGGACGGTTCTAGGAGGCATCCAAAATAAAACATCAGATGACTTCCAAATAGAAGAAAAGGCACTAGAACTACCTGACAAGGAATTCACATCTCTAATATTCAGAGCTATCCAAGAGTTAAAGCAAAAATCAGACAAAAATGAGGAAAAAACAGACAAATTTATAGAAAGGGCAGACAAATTCATGGAAAATATAGGCAAGAAAATGGAAGAATTCAGGAAAATAATACAGGAACAAAACGCTAAAATAAATTCACAACTAGAAACTATACAAAAACAACAGCTAGAAATGCAAAAGGTAAACAACAAGATTTCAGAAATGCACAGTGTCACAGATGAGCTGAGAAGCAGGTATGAAACGACGGAAGACAGGATCAGCAAAATTGAAGACAAACACTTGGATACAACTCTGAGGAAAAACCAGAAAAAACAACGAAGAGAAATGAAGAAACCCTGAGACTTATGTGGCATACAATCAAAAGCGAAAATCTGTGAGTGATTATAGAGTTCCAGAACACGGTGAGAAAACAGCAAACACAGAGAGGATCATTGAAGAACTGCTGCCAGAAAACTTCCCCAATATCATGAAAGATGAAAAGTTGACCATCCAAGAAGCTCAACGAACCCCATATAGGACAGATCGCAAAAGAATACCACCAAGGCATATCATAATCACACTTGCTAAAACCAAAAACAAACAAATAATCCTGACAGCAGCTCAAGAAAAACAAGAAGTCACATACAGAGGAGAAACAATAAGACTAACCTGGGATCATTTGGGCAGAAACCATGCATGCAAGAAGGCAATGGGATGACATATATAAAACCTTGAAAAGAAAAAAAATTGCCAGCCAAGAGTAACATACCCTGCAAAACTCTTGTTCAAGTACGATGGTGAAATTAGGCCATTTCCAGATAAACAGAAATTAAGGGACTATGTAAAAACCAAACCAAACTTACAAGAATTATTAAAGGGAGTCCTGTGATCTGAGAACAAACAACAGCAGACCACAGGCTGAATCTAAGATGCAGAATCGTACCAGCCAAACACCAACCTAGGAAATGAACTCTCAAGGACTAGCCGAAACCAAAAGAATTACAACAGGGAACCAAAGAGGTTAATCTGTAAATGGCAACATCAGAACAATAAAAGAGGGAATAAACGGTGTAGGTATAGAACCTTCCAATGGAGAGGAAGGCAAGGCAATACCAAGTAATAATAGACTGGTACAAATCTAGGCAGAGAAGGGTAAATTTCACGGTAACCACAAAGAAAGTTAACAAACCTACTCATCAAAATAAAAAAGAAAAACATAGTCTTGGTAAAAACAAAACCTACAAAAACAAAAGAAATGAAAAAGAAATCCACAAACAAAAGGAATTCAGTACAGGCGAGTAAGAGGAACAAAGAAAACGTCAGCACCAGAAAAAAAAGTACTACAAAATGACAGTAATAAACTCACACCTATCAATAATTACACTGAATGTAAATGGCCTAAATGCAGACACAAAGATGGAGAGTGAAAAAATGGATAAAAAAACAGGATCAATCAATATGCTGCCTACAAGAGACGCACCTTAGAAATAAAGACATAGATTTATTTATTTATTTTCATTTTTTACTCTTTCAGTAAATTCTAAAAAATTTTTTTATTGTACTTTAGATGAAGGTTTACAGAATAGTTTCTCATTAAACAGTTAGTACACATATTGTTTTACGACAATAGTTAACAACCCCACAACATGTCAACACTGTCTCTTCTCAACCTTGGGTTCCCTATTACCAGCTTTCCTGTCCCCTCCTGCCTTCTACTCCTTGTCCCTGGACTGTTGTGCCCCATTAGTCTTGTTTTGTTTTATGGGGCTGTCTAATCTTT